TCGAGTGGCCCATGGTGGTGATGGGGTTATGGACGATGAACACAGGCCACTCGATTCACAACATTACCCTAACCCTAACCCTCACACCAGATACTGACTGGTTTTCGGACCCCCCCAGACCCCCCCAATAAAGCAAAAATGCACGTTTCAGAGTGGCCTTTTATTGTAGCCAGCCTAAGGCACACCTGTGCAATAATCATGCTGTCTAATCAGCATTTTGATATGCCACACCTGTGAGGTGGGATGGATTATCTCGGCAAAGGAGAAGTGCTCACTATCACAGATTCTTTCAGATTTGTGAACAATATTTGAGAGAAATGGTTATTTTGTGTATATAGAAAATGTTTTAGATCTTTGAGTTCATCTCATGAAAAATGGGAGCAAAAACAAAAGTGTTGCATTTATATTTTTGTTCAGTGTATCAGTCGTGTTGTAAACCACTGCTTGTTACAGTTACCTGAACGCATTCTAAACTGCAACTTAAAAAAAAGTGAATTTCATAGAATGCTAGTCAGGTTTGTAAAGCACCGTCTCCCAGAACAAGAGCGTAAAGTTGGCATGAAGACATTCTAAAGAACAATTCAAGCATGTTATTATGGCTTTGGAATTAACTTGCATGCCGAGTGCGATCAAAGTTTTTTTTTTTTACATGCTCCTCATGGGTTTAAGCATTTATCTTATCTGTAGAATCAATCTGCTGATACTGTAAAGCTGATTCTGTTGTCTGTCAGTCTTACGCTTAGCAGATGGCAGACAGGATCTTTAGAATGCCAAAACCATGAGCAGTTCATTAGAGAGACTGCTAATTAAATGTCAAAGGACAGCGTGTCCTCCTTGTGTTAGTTCAGTAGTGATCAGGACAGTCCGCAGAGCTGGAGGCGGGGCTCAGGGTTTGCTGGGGGAGCGGGAGGGGAACGCTCCCGAAGCCTCCAGCATGGTCTTCCTGCGGGCCGTCTCCTTGGCAACATTGTGGTTGAGTCGCCTCAGACGTTCCTAGGGACACAATAATAATGTTATGTTTGTTTTGTTTAACAGTCTGTGTGCTTTTCTGACTTTAATCTTGGTCGGTAATTAAGGAGGTGATGCTTGTAGTTATGGCAGGTTATAGCGTGGCTTAGTTGAATACTAGATTCCAATTGGTCAATTTGGACATTCAGCGGTCAGCTCGATTGCAAAAAGAGACTATTGCTAAAGCAGTCTGATCAAGGGACTATGTGTAGTACGCTCAATTAAACATCAGAGGTGGCCCAGAAAACACAGTGGAAAACGGTTTAGATATTCATTTGTATATTTGTGGAAAGCACAACATTTTGGATTCATAATGGTTAAGTGTCTTCCATAAAGAAGGTGACACAGATAAGAAAAGGCAACAGAGAAGGAAGAAGGTTAAAGACACAGAGAGCTGGAGGAAAGAGAGATTGGACGAAGACAGACAGGAAGTAAACACTAAAGGGGACACAGTACAAGGGAACACACTCTTTTGCTCTGGCAATGTTTAAGGACTGGCTAACAGAAAAGAAAACGTGAAGAGACTTGGACAGTCCTGCTGCACATTATCTCTCACATAGTGATAGTAGGATATACTAGAAGTACTTGAGTATTTGTATAGTAATGTCACTGGTAGAACTAATCATGAGAGGTCAAACAGGTATAGAGAAGTTGTTGGTAGTAGTGGTTGTAAAACTAAGACGAATTCTATGACAATAGTCATAGCCGTGCAGTAGTAGTAACAGTATTAGCATTTAGTGTAATAAACATTTAAAGATGTAATAAAAAGGCGAACATTAGGAGCTGTGCCACTGATGAATCCAAGTTCAATATATTTTTTCTCTTTTAGCAATGCTAAACATCTGTCTATTTGGCTACTAAACTCTTCAGTATGTTCCCCAGCTAATCTCTGACTGTGTCTGTCTGCTGCCGAGGTTGTGTACAGTGGCTTTTTACAGCCTTTCCTCAAAAGGAAATCAGTGTAGTGAGAGCAGCGTTTACAGGCCAGAAAACCAAAACAGTCCTGTAGAGCGGAGGGACACTGCAGAATCAAAAAAGTACAGTCAGTCAAAAACATGAATACGTGCTGTTTTAAGAAGTCACACAACAAAGACTTGCCACTGACCTGAGCATTCTGCAGTATATTGTTCACTAGCACTACTCTACGCCTTGCATTCAGCAGCTTCTTTACATAAGGGTCCAGGTCCAGAGCCACCTTCTGATGTTCATTTATCCGGCATAACTCTGCAAAGAGTGGACATTAAATGACACAAAAGAACATACCAAAGTTAGCAAAGATGCGGTCTAATGTAAATTGTACATTTAAAAAAACACATATCTAAATGTATCAGAATTACTTTAATGGCAAGGCAAGTGTTTAAAAATACACATTGCATGTAATGTGCTGTATTCACAGAAATAGATGTACAACTAAAATAGGATAACACAGTTTAATTAGGGCTGTAGATAATATGGAATGATTGACAGGTTGCCTTATGTACCTCATGTAATGCCTCAGTAGATGGATATGATGGTGTGCACTGATGCTAATGTTTATATAGACAGTAATGATATATTTAACATATTCAAACAAACATTAGAATTTGAACTATGCAATATATGGTGTAGCCTACTGGTACGCTGGTTGTTTGCTCTATTGACAGCATGACTATCTGGTAGAAATTGTTCTTGTGTATTAGGGCAGTTCAATTAAATACATAACAAGACAAGCAAGTCTGGGATTCAACAAACACAACATAAATAAATGAATAATCTAAATTGTACCTGTGGCCAGATTATCTATGTGCTCTCTCAATTCTACCTGGCTTTCTCTGCAAAGAAAGAAGAATCACATTAATCCAGAAATCCCCCACCTCCAACCAACATAGCTCTTTTCACAAGCTGACATACACAATCACACTCACACACACTGGTTACAGTTGGTTTTGCAAGTATGAGTGGGGATGTAATATGATTTAATGACAGCCATTTTTTATTTAATTATTGTATTTATTATTAGTGTTTCATTTTTTTTTTTTTATACATGTTATTTTTTTGGGAGGAAGTACAATTTTCTGTTATATTGAAATTCGGGAACCCCAACTCATTCAGTAGATGAATACAAAAGAATCGTATTAATCCAGAGGACACAAAGAAGCGAATCCTCAGGATGTTATGGGTTCAGTCACAGAACAGCTGGGCAGGTTAAGTTTATCATCATTTAGAAGCGGAAACGCAATTAATTCAACATGACAAAGGTAGTACCCAAGTGACACGTACTGCTGTGTACTAATCTGATTTAAAAGTTAACATTTAGATTGTGAATCATAAAGGAATAACACCACCGGGTGACATCTCCTAGTCACGAGACTTCAATTGACTCACAGCGGCTGCAGCTCGTATGAGGTAGCAGAATCGCCTGGAAGAATAAATATAACGTCACCTAGATATTACATAATAATGCGCATTTACCTGACTGAGTGTACATGCAGATCAAGCTGCTGAATAGCTGGTTTCAAGACGTCTAGCAAACCCTCTGCTACAGCATCTTTGCCCGAGGGAGTAGCCACTACAGCCGAGGAAGCCATTTTGATATACCGTAAACAGGGCCAGACCGGAAGCTACGTCATCGTGACGTTGGAGACATAAGGCTCTCTCCATTTTCTTACGTTGAACCGTCCATAGCTAGCAGCACCATTTTGGGAAGACTCACTGTTAAAACCCTGTCTGCAGCATTATTTCAATATTCTGTGATTAACAGACTCACTAGAGTTAGTTCAAATCTTACAGCGCGTAGTTAAGAAGGTAGTTTTTTGTAGTTTGTATTTAAACACAAGAAAACAAGGACACCGTGCCGTACCTGCTAGCTAGCTACCAAAGCTAACCCTAGCTAGCTGTAAGGCTTTTCTCGACCGACGCCACAATCACTGTAAGTAACAAAATATAAAAAGTATTGTAGGAATATAAATTGTAATTGACTTTATCAAGTCCTTTAGCAAAAAACAAGTCAATCCGTTTTTTTTGTTTGTAGTTTCTCGGGCTCGAGATAAATGACATGTAAACGCTTCTCTGCGGAGGTGGAAGAAGTACTCTTTATTTTTTTGTTTACTTAAATAAAAGTAGCTTTTACTAAATACTCTTGTCACAAGTAAAGGGCCTGCATTCAAAACCTAACTTTAGTCAAAGTACTCAGTATTGGCATCAACATTTGACATAAAGTGCCAAAAGTCAAGTTTTCGTGCAGAATGGCCATTTTCAGAATAATATATATAATATATGCTTTTTAATTATTGATCCTCTAATGTGTCTATCATTTAACTTATTCAGCTAGTAAAGGAGGAGGCCAGTTGATATAAACTTAACACAAAAAGCAAGGACATTTATGTTTGGTAGATATTTTCTTTGTTGTATCAATGCTTTTTGGCAATACATCTTTTACCGTTGGACATTTGGGAGGAACAAGCATTGAGTTGAGATGAGCAGCCGAGCTGAGTATGTGGGTTGCGCCCATGAAAAATGTGACAATCTCCAAATCTGGTATATATATTTATTATAATAATAGGAACGTGAAAGCTTACTAGTAACTTAAACTATTAATCTAGTGGATTACAAAAGTAAAGCATTTGCTTCCAATTTGTAGTGAGTAAAATTATAAAGTACCATCAAATTGTAATACTCAGGTAAAGTACAAGTACCGGAAAATTATACTGTTACTTTCCACCCCTGCTTTTCTTTATTCTTGAACAAAAACTATACTATTTTTAAATTAAGGTATAGAGCTTCCCTGACATAGCTGAGTAAAATACATGACAAGTTTTAACCACAGAGCAATGTACTGATACAAACTACCTATTCCCTCTCTCACACACTGACACCTGCTCTGAAGCAGCTGTTGGGTTGGAATTAAACCTCCTGGCACATGAGAAGGATACCCGTTTGTCTCTGTGATATCTGGCCAGGCAGCTGTTGGAATATTTGACCTGGCCTACCCTGAAGCCTTAAAATTGATTGTTGCATACTGGCCAACATTTTGTGATTAGGTACACATTAAATGTTAGTTGTGGCCAGTGTTGTAATTTAACACAATTACATTGAACAAGAAGTTTTGTTACCCATTTTGTCTGCATTTCCTATGGTTGTCTCCATTCAGTCAGTGGAAATTAATATGGGGTGTTTCTTTGACTATTTATAGACAAACATTGGCACTACTTGTCGGCAAAAGCTGCGTCTTATTGCGAGTTGATATATGTATATGTATGTATGTGTATGTATGTGTGTGTGTATATATATATTAGGCATGGGCGGTATCATTTTTTTCATACCGTCATACCTTGCTGACATCATACCGTGGTATACGGTATATGACGGTATGACTTGGGTCGACTTGAGCGAGGTGGCGTTCGGCGGCAAATAGATGTTTCGAACGGTATATTATATGTTCGGTGTAAAATGCAGCCCGAGCCGGTAGACGCTCGCAAAGTGCCGCGACGTGCGCGCAAGTGCAAAACAAGGGCTGCATACATGACACATTGTGCAAATGGCACATTTTGAGATCGGATACAGGACGCGTTTGTAGATGTCCGACGTTGTTTCCATTGTGAGCTAAGTTAACAATATATCATCATACATAAACATTTTCCGGGAGTAAATACTTGACTTATTGAATAAAGTTTGCTATATTCACTAACTAGTTGCAATATTATTCCGTGCATGTGTTAAAAACCTTATTTCCATTTGATTCATTGGATTACTCGCGTGAATGTTTAGCACGTTAATGCTTTCGTTTTTAAAACCGTCCGACCTCGACTACAAAACCATCAACCAGTTGCATAGGATTAAAAAATGTCAACACTCACTCACCCCATCTTAAACATTCCCAAAGAAGTGCCTCTGTCTCTCGTTGTGCTGGATGAAGTCACTGGCGACGAGTAAACCCAAAATAGTCCCAAACAGGCGCAGAGGCATTTTTCTTTTTTACTAGTTGTCCGAGTTCGGGGCCGGCAAATGCTGCCGCCATCTTGCTCAGCTCAGCTCTGTGCTGAGCTCTGAGAGCGGGAAAGACGGACTGCCCTCCCCTGCCCTCTGCTGGCGCGTGCTGTGCATTACAACCAATGTCGTCCCTGTCAAAACTCCGTGTCAGTGTAATAGAATGAAACGCATCTGTGATTTGGCGCACAGTCTGTGACGTCACGGTATTGAAAATCATACCGACGGTATTTCGAAATACCGTAATACCGTCATACCGCCCAAGCCTAATCCAGATCTCTCAGGTCTTCAGGGACTGGTCAGCTTTCTGTCCCCAGAGTCAGAACTAAACATGGTAAAGCAGCGTACAGTTATTATGCTC